ACACACACACACACACCGGGGGGGTGTGTATGCCCCGCAAATACGTGGCGGGGGGTCAGCTTACGTTTGTGTTTGGGGGGGTGGCCGAAACTGTACCTTACATTTTGGGACCACCCCCCCGGTTTTAATATAAAGGGGTGGCGATGTTATATTATATTTGGAAACAATATTCAGTTTGACAGTTTGGCTTTTTCAACTGCGATCTGACATGCTGCTTTCTATTCTGCTGCTACGGCTATGGAAAGCCATGCAACATCACAGCAGAACATCATTTCAGACCAAAGACTCTCACGACCTTTGGAAGAATGGCGTGACTGTCCCCTGTGTCTCTCGCAGTTGCGTTCTTGGCCACAAAGTTCCACGGGTTTTCTCCGTCAAGGACTGCTCCACAAAGGATTGCGAACAAACGCAAATGCCATTGCCTAGCAAAGCGTATAGCGCAAACACACTTACAGCAATGACAAAAGATCAATTCCCGTACAATACACGATGACACACGCTAGCAAGTCTCGCGCTCTCTAAACCTAGGTGGCGGGTTGACCCACTCACATGACACCACACACTAACAGACTTGCTTTCCACGTTTGACTCGCAACTACACAAGGCTGTTTGCCTGAAAAGGATCCGGACACCATCAGTGAAGCTGTCCCATCTGCCCATGTCGAACTCAGTGGAGATGGAGCGGTGAGTACCTAAATGCTGCCCCCACGCGAGCAGCTTCCTCTTGAGGCACTCAAAGTCTCCTTCAGGAACCGAAAGCTCGTCCTCCAGACCTTGTCGCAAAGGTGCTAGCAAAACATCATTCTCCGACATACTGCTGGCGTAGAAAAGAATGCTCTCACGAAGCTTCCTGCCAAAGCGACCTGTGTTCCATGGAGCCTTGTCAAACTTCAAGCACAAGCCAATTTCTCTCCGTAGCTCGGTTGTTTGGGTGGACCCCTTCATTGCCAGTTCAATCACTCGGTGCATTTTGTGAGAAGTATCTCGGATGGGCATCACAGCAATAAACTCTGCAAGCGCCGAGACCAGGCTGAAGCAGCTACTTCCTTGATCAGAGACACTAGCGATGCGGACATGTTGAGCAAACTGAATTGTCTTTGTGCTTTGCCATTGGCTAGTCTTCATCTCTTCATTGAAAACAAACTTCATGTCTCCCAAGGTAGGGTGAACAAAGGTCTCTCGTCTCTCTCCCAGCACGACAGGACGAAGCACATTGGTTGGTTTGCTATCCTTCCATTGAAAGCCCACGAGCTTGTTCAAGCTATGGTTGAGAGCAATGTACAGCTGCTTGGTCTTTGCGAGGTCACCTTCCTTCAGCAGCATGGGAACATCAGGAACCTGTCGGGCTTTTTCCTGCTCACTCAACTGCCTCTTATTGCCCCTGCCACTCAAGGGGACAAGTTGATGCAATGGAACTAAGGGAAGCTCTGCTGCTTTGTCTTGAAGAACTGCTTGCTTCTCCTCGACAGGTTGCTGCTCTGGCAATTTCGCTGCCGACAGGAACATTGGTGGTGAGCAGCAAGCAACGTTGCCTATTTGGCATTGGACCAAGAGCACCTGCAGAGGTCACCACAAGCATCGGTACTCATTAAGCCACATCGTGCTGGTCATTATTTGAAGAATTCCCACCGAATGGCAATTAACCCTTTTCGGAATGACACAAAACATTGTGTTGGATTTCCACTTTGGTACATGCATCCTCTACATACTACACTCTGCACCAAGTTGACCAGTTGATAGTTTGGGCGGCGAGGGACCAGCAAGCAGAAGGCATGTTTTCTTATTGAAGACCCGCGCCTCATTTGTCGAAATCTCACTTGCATCATGGTAGATAGCAATCGATGGAATCTTCATCTCTCCAAGCTTCTCCAGAAGCTTTTGGCCTGCTGTAAGGAAATAGCACGCTACAAAATGAGCTGCTGCAACAGTTCCGGTGTTGCTCTTCTGGGAGACCAAGTTCAACTCAAGAAGATCTGAGTTCGCTGAATGGCTAGTTCCGCAAAAGCCTGCATTGCGACTCAAGAATCGACGAAGAAGCTCATTTGAAATCACAGAGTGTTTCAACTGTTGGTTCATACCTGCCAGGTTCTCCAAGCGCACTTTGTCACTCAAGCTCTCGCCCACGTTGGAGTCAATGATCTGGCTGATCTGATGGACAAGTCGTCGCTGAATCCTCTCACACGGCACAGCTGATTTCGCCTTGCCAAAACGGAGCCAAAACCAAATAAAGTGGCCAAGTTGGACTTGCCCTACACACGATGCACGCGCGCTGCCCAATGAAGTTTGGTTTCGCCACCTCCACAGTTAGCCAATTCATTACATCAGTTGAGTCCAGTGACAATCAGTGCCTTACCTCACCTACTATAATATGATTTACCCACGCATTCATTCATCCTTCCAACAAATGAAGCTCCCAACCAGTTTAATGACATGGGTTTAAACGATTGAGCATTGGTGTTTCAAACCTCACGTCCACAATACAGTAGCGCAAGTCAAGCCTGGTTTTGATTTCCCCCCTGCTCTGCTGGGCTGAACTTGGCAAGCACTTCACTCATGTTGACCTGGCAGGAGTTCACTTCAATCTCCCACGCTGGCAAAAGGCGAATTTTGAAGCTCTTTCTTCGGATGCAGTGAAGCAAGTTCTCGATCATGCTCAAAGCACCTTCCTGGCACTGAGTGGAAAGACCACGACATGCTCCAATCACCCCCAGCAACAAGAACACACCTAATGTGGAAGCGCATGCCCAGGGAAGATTGAGCAACGGTTTTTTCCATGTCGATCTCACCCTTGTAGTTGGCTTCGCGAATCACTTGGCCGGTGATGCCCCATGCGGCCGCTTGTTGAGCACATTTTGAAGTCCAGTTCTGCGAGAACCATGCATAGAATGGGGACTTGATGACAATGTGCCACCAATCTTTGATGACCCACCAGAACTGGTAGCCATTGAGAGAGATATGGTGTCCATGTTTTCCACCTCACTCACAGGGAATCAGACCTGACCAACAAATATTGGAAGAATAGTCACATAAATAAGTGGCCTGCTTGATTCAAATGGTGGGTGTGATACTACTTTCAATTCTAATTATTCCACCTTGACCACAATGAAGCTCTTGCTCTCCAAGTGTAGAAACTTCTGGGACCATGGCAGCTGCCCGGCACCGTTCTGGCTAGCATCAATCATCTCCTTGGCCTTCGCAAGCATTTCGCTGTCAAAGCTATTGAAGTCCATCCGGGGACGCAACGCAAAGGGGCAGGCATCTCGCACCATGTCCAACGCGACTTCGACCTGTTGCTTTGTCACTTTCCTGCCGCCCAAGGAGTCTAATACGCAATCGTTCGTGGCTGCGTGTTCTAGAAGCTGAAGACCTCTGTACATGGCATCGGGCTCCTTGCACCTGTCCAGAAGCCACTTGCCAACTGCACGCGTCACAGCTGCCTGACAAATTTAACAGAAGCTATGCCTGACAAAAAATTACCGTAAGCGCCTCGAGCAGTCAGCGCTTTTTTTTACAGTGCATGGAGCGATAATCAGGATTCGAATAGAAACAGAGCGCTGGTAGTACGTACTTGTGAGATCCTTTGGTATAGGCTTGACATGAGCGCCTTTTAAAAAACAAAATCAAATTGAAACCCTCCAGAGGAAGCAGCAGCCTCCTCAGTGCCAGCGTCGCTGTCGCTGGTATGTTCTGCAACAGCCTGAAGCAGCGCCCCATCATCTGCTCCAGCCATTACTGTATCCACAAAAGGAAGGGCCAGCCCTCCACAAGAATGAGCACGTACTCGATAACACACAAGCACGCCGTGTCTCGTATGTCCATGAATGAAAAAAGTAATTCATTGTCTCTACTCTTTGTTCTTCTACTTACTTGAATTGTTGGTTCTGCATGGAACAGTCACGCTGGTAAGCCCTTGCTGCAGAGCTTGGCGGATCATCGTCCCAGCTGTAGCAGCGGCAACACAAACAATAGAGTTTGCAACTGGTTGCATCACACCTGCCTGACACCAAAACAAGAAGCTTGCCCATTTTCTCAGTATATATATACATTTCATCTCACACCAGGTACTTAATTGATCAAATTAGTCTTTAGAACAGTGAGCGCTTGTGCCGTCATATACTGTGAGAAGTCAGCGTGTTTGCATATAGTGGGTGCCGTTGTATTACAGTCAGTCTTACCCTGTACATAATTGTGCTCATTTTACTAGATGCTCAGTAGCTACAGAGCCGGCCTCAGACCTTTCACCTGGTTTTGCTGCAGTCCAAACCCTCACTTCTTCCACCTCATCACCCATCCCAACGATTGTTCAAGCTAGCTACCAATATCAAATCTAGCCTGTGAAATGGCAAACAAGAACTGTTACCTTTATGTTAATGTTCCTAGTCTTCGCTCATCAAATGATTCATGACTGCAATGTGTTTGCTTAGATATGCAACAAAGCGTTGATTCATTCATATGTAGACGCGCGCAAAATCACCCCCCTAGGCCAGGCCAAGCGTTCGTATCAACCTGAGCGCCTGCGATGGTACTGAGCGCCTGCGATGGTACTGAGCGACAGCGATGGTACTGAGCGAC